AATACTTTTGAATGTTAAAATTTGAGACAGCCAACTTGGATTAATTAAATAACTTAGAACAACTAAATAGCCTAGCCGGTGTGGCTCAGTGGTTGAGCGTGAACCCGTGAACCAAGAGGTCCCCAGTTCAATTCCCAGTCAAGGCACATGCCCGGGTTGCAGGCTCAATCCCCAGTGAGGAGCATGCACGAGGCAGCAGATCTGGCAGTGTTTCTCAGTGATTAGAGCCTCGGTTGTGCACAAAAGGGTCTCAGGTTCAATTCTCCATCAAGGGCACGTACCTGGGTTGCAGGTTCCATCCCCAGCCCTGGTTGGGGTGCATGTGGGAGGCAACCCATCGATGTGTCTCTTTCACATTGATGTTTCTCTCTTCCTTTCTCTGCATCCCACCCCCACGTCCCTCCCTTCTACTCTCTTAAAAAAAAATCACTTTTTCACATGATCTCACTCATAAATGCAATCTAATACACAAAACAGAATGAGGAACAAATTGATCCAGAGACACAGAAGCATGGAACAAACTGATGAATCTCAGTGGGAAGGCGGGGGAGGAATATGCAGGGTGAAGGGGATCAATGGGGGGGAAAGGGGGAATACCCAAAATACTTTCAACAATAATTTTTTTTTTAAATCAATGGAAAAAATATCCCCCTCAATTTAATTAATACAAAATAAATAAAACAACTCTAAATAAGTTACTGTACCACATTAGAGGGCCTAGAATGCATTCATAATTAACCCACTATCCATTTGGCCCCCTTTCAGCATTGTAGAGCTGTGAGAACTATTCCTATCCAGACAGTGATTTCTTATATACTCACGAGGCAGGGAACCACTTCTTCCTCTCTTTTTTTTATTGATTTTTTTTTTTTTTAGAAAGAGAGGGAGAGGGAGAGAGAGAAAGTCGTTGATAGGCTGCTTCCTGCACACCCTCAACTGGGGATCAAGCCTGAAACTAGGCATGTGCCCTGACCGGAATTGACTAGTGACCTCTTGGTTCCTGGGTTGATGCTAAACCGTAGAACCACACCTGCCAGGCCACTTCTTCCTTAATGCTATGCTTTGCCTTTGACTTCTAACTTGAAGGAAATTGTACAACATGCTCCATCTGGACATAAGTTTTCACTGTATCATCTCAGCACTCTAGTCGAAAATTAGTCTTACTTGTTTTTTATTTCCCCCATTGCAAAATTCTATTTTGTTTACTCCTAACATTTTACTATTTAATGTATGTATGTCTTATCTTCTTAAATTCTTTGTGGAATGAGGCTAGATGTTCAAAAAATAGAGAAAAGAAATTTCTCTTTGGTGCCTACTCTCTACTGCCCTCTGCAGGTAGAAGGAAGGAATGAGCCATAACCTAATACTGTACTACCTACAGTAGTGACTGGGAGATCCCTATCCAAAAGGTAGGAATGTTTAAAGTAATTGGTGATTTTTATTTTTTAAAATATATCTTTATTGATTTCAGAGAGAGGAAAGGGGAGGGAGAGAGAGTCATTGATCAAGCCCACAACCGGGGCATGTGCCCTGACTGGGAATTGAACCCTGATTGCCTGGATCCTAGATCGATGCTCAACCGCTGAGCCACGCCAGGCCAGGCTAATTGGTGATTTTTAGACACTAACCATTACCAACCAGACTCTATCTATTCACAGGAAAGATTTCCCAATTTGCTTAAGTCCCTTCGCTNCCAGGCCAGGTTAATTGGTGATTTTTAGACACTAACCATTACCAACCAGACTCTATCTATTCACAGGAAAGATTTCCCAATTTGCTTAAGTCCCTTCGCTATGGAAAGATCTCTGGGAACTATATACCCTATTTTCAAGAGACTGCCCTATCTCCTGCACCCATATACAAGCGGACGTCAAAGTCCTCTCTTATTCTAGGTCAAGACTAGGGGCGTCTATGTCAAAGTTCCTTCCGCCCTGCAAAACTTGAGTCTGGGAGTGAAAAAGAAAAGAGACTCAATAGTTATAATGGCATAAAGGTGCAGGCAATGCAACTTGTCTGTGCTTTACAAATGTCAATGAATGCTTTAAAACGTCAACCCCTGAAATGCAGCAATCGGAGATAATGTAAGTTTTGCTTTTTGTTTTTTTATAGAAAGTGTAAGGCAGCTGCAAGATAACCAACAAACAACCAGCTTCATTTTTGTGTAGAGAGGACTGTTGCTTATGCATGGATTATTTTATTCGGTCACACTGCTTTGTTTGGGCAGCAGCACCATCAGTGATGTCATCTTCTAAAACAGACCAGAATGTATGGGCATATTGTGCCAACAGCCCAAATCAATGACCTGGGTAATGCAATCAGGCTAACACTATTATTCCTCATCTAAATCCCCAAGCCCATAAAAAATAATGCTAATCTGATGGATGTTCAAGGAATATGTTACGTGGGAAAGAAAATCAAGCCCTTGGTTAATTTTATTTAAATTCTAATATCTACTTACAGGAAACACATCACAGAATCTAATATCATTGTGTCTACATCTCGTTTTATTTTTGTATTAGTAAGTTAAAAAGTTTATTAACAATCACACACTTTCTTGGATAAGAATATTTTTAGAGTCTATGTTCACTAAAGGAGTGATCTCCAAATGCATATTCACCTAGCACACCAAAATATTCCACAACTGCAGCATCAGAATGATTTACAGCATTCCTGATAGAGGAGGCAGGGTTGTTTTATTGTTTGGGGTAAAAAAAAAAAAAATTTTTTAGGAAAGTTACAGCTTTTAATTTCATCTCCTCTTACATTTTGTGATTCAATTGATTCATAATGGGCATAATATGGATTTAAGCAGATTTAAATTTTTTCAACGTCTGGAAATGTAAGCTTTCTGAGCTGAAAAATGTTTCTTTAAAAGGTGTGTAGGGTACAGAACCAGTAAGTTTTTCATTGGTTTAAAAATATACACTGTGCACCTACTAGCGAGGCGGGTAGGCGCGCAGCTCGCGTTTGCAGACAGCACACCTGAGCCCCCCGAGGGCCAGGCGGGACCCAGCCGCACGGGGGCGGGGCCACGAGCGAGCCGGAAGTCGCTCCTCCGCGTCTCGCGCCGCCTACG